CTTCTGACACACTTCTGGTGATGTCAGGGGGTGTGGCATATGCAAATAAGTTATGCTAATGAGCCCCTGCACCTCTTTTTCTACAAAATGACCCCTGGTAATAAGGAACCTGAAGAAGATGATTAATTAAAAGGTCCAGACTCAGATCTACAGCAATTTGTCCATCACACCTCACTTTGCTTTCCCACACAGGAAGGTCTCAAGTGTTAGAATGTACAGTGGGGGAAAAAAGATGTGAATGAATTAGTTTGCAAATAAGTTATGCTAATGAGTTATGCTAATGAGCTCCTGCACCTCTTTTTCTACGAAATGACCCCTGGTAATAAGGAACCTCAAGAAGATGATTAATTAAAATGTCCAGATTCAGATCTACAGCTATTCGTCCATCACCCCTTACTTTGCTTTCCCACACAGGAAGTTCTCAAGTGTTAGAATGTACAGTGGGGGGGAAAAAAGATGTGAATGAATTAGTTCAACGTCTAAAAATCAGATTTAATGACTATTTCCCCAGAAAACAGGATAAAAACAAATGATCATATAATAACACTGTACCTTCTCTCAGACTGAATAACTTTGACGCTGAGGACTCCTTGAGCACTTTCTTCACAAATATTCCTTCGTTTCCTCCACCGGCCACACTAAATCCACTTGCGCCGGATTCGATTTCTGTGTGCAAGGTCACCTCCATAGACTCCTAGGCACCACAGGTAAATGTGTCATGACGTGACATTTCTAATGATTCATGTCATAAAATCGGCGACCACGACACCCAACAACTATTGTTTCAGATGTTTTTACACCTGTGTACGAGACATCTGTATCTAACATGGCTCACTTTCCAAAAAGCATCGAAAAGTCCTGGAGGTTTTTTTTAATGTTTTATTGTTGCATGAGGAAGACAGTAAATACATTGAATATTATTTATGTTACAGTATATACCTGAACCTTGTGGTCAGTGTCAATATTTACGATGTTGACAACTCACAGAATCACAGAGTTGGGAGGTGCCAAGGAGGCCATCTAGTCCAGCCCCCTGCTCAATGCAGGATCAACCTGGAGCATCTCTGACAAGGGTTTGTCCAGCCGCTGCTTGAATACTGCCAGCTCACCACCTCCCCAGGCAGCCCATTCCACTCTTGCACAACTCTTACTATCAAAAAGTTTTTCCTAAGGTCCATCCAGTGCCTTCCTGCCCTTAATTAAAACCCATTCTTGCGAGTCCTCTCCTCTGCTGCCCACAGGAACAGCTCCCTGCGTGACAGCCCTTCAGACTTCAAGAGAGCAATCCTGTCCCCCCCCTTCAACCTCCTCTTTTCCAGACTAAGCATTCCCAAGTCCCTCAGCCTTTCCTCATACAGACAAATATTGGGAACATCAGCATTCGATTGTTCATTATGGCCCTGCCTGTTGGCTTTACAGTAAAGGTAAAGGTAAAGGTTCCCTTGCTCGAAAGCCAGTCGAATCCCACTCTAGGGTTGCGGCGCTCATCTCCGTTTCAAAGCCGAAGAGCCAGCGCTGTCTGAAGACGTTTCCGTGGTCATGTGGCCAGCATGACTAAACACCGAGGCGCACGGAACGCTGTTACCTTCCCACCGAAGTGGTCCCTATTTATCTACTTGCAATTTCTTGCTTTTGAACTGCTAGGTTGGCAGGAGCTGGAACTAGAGATGGGAGCTCACTCCGTCATGCGGCACACTCGGGTCTCGACTGCTGAACTACCGACCTTCCACAGCCTGCAGTTCAGTGTCTTAGGTGACTGCTAATTTCGTGTTGGGGGGGGGAAATCTTCCTATACAATCTATGCCTTTTTACTGATGTTCTTCCAAGGAGCTCAGGTCACCCTACCCAGCTCTCCTAGCTCATCCCAACAACAACCTTGTGAGGTACGTCAGGCTGAAAGAGAAGGGGGGTTGCCCTAGTTCACCAAGTAAGCTTAATAGCTGAACAGACCTAGCCCAGGGGTCTCCAGTGTGGTGTCTGTGGGATGGTGCCTCACCCACACTTTTCCTGGCTTCTGCCAAGTATTTTAGACATGTGTGGGGCCAGGTGAGCACAGGCCCTCTTCCAAATGGTTCTGTCTCTATACCTAGTCAAGCCTCCAAGTCCACCCATACAGCATGGGGATGGGAGGGGTCACTGCTGCCCTAGGATGCCAAACCCCCCCCCCCCGGGCTGGCCCTGAATATGACTGGAGTCATTCATACGTACTCAGAAGCAGGGCTATTTTGGGGCAGGAACGCCCCAGAACTGAGTTCTGGCTGGCTCCCGAGTTGGCCACGCCCAGCAGGAACTCATTAGCATAACAGGCCACACCCAACAGCAGGAACTCATTAGGATTGGCTACATTAGGGGTGTGTGGCCTAACATGCAAAGGAGTTCCTGCGACAAAAAAAGGCCCTGGGTTTTGACAACAAACAAGGTAAACAGAATAAGAAGAAAAAGGTGGGGGTGGCTGGATGACCACACTTCTGGTAACATGGGGGTGCGGCCGAATGTGCTAATGAGTGGTGCAGTCAGGGGGTGTGGCCCAATATGCTAATGCGTTTCTGCTGCTGGGTGTGGCCTATTATGCTAATGAGCTCCTGCTGGACTTTTTCTACAAAAAAAGCCCTGCTCAGAAGTAATAGAAAACTGTCTGGAAATCCCAACCACAGAGTTCCCCAATGAAAACAACTTGTTCCAGGTCAAAAGCTTAAAAGTGAGATCGGCCTTCGATCAGGAAATCCTTCCTCAGACCTTCTAAACAGACCTGGGAAAGCCACCAATTGTGGTTACTGTGAAGACAAAGGAGCTTTGGGAGATCTCTTTGCACACTGTAACAATAATAACTGAGTGGAGCGCAGCCTGGTGTGCATAGCAAAGAGGAAGCCATGCCACGCGTAGCCCTCCTCCGGGTCGGAGTTCTCCCTGTGCAAAATGGTGGAGGGGAGGGGTGGCGGCTCAGCGGCAGACCATCTGCTCGGCACGTGGAAGGTCCCAGGTTCAATCCCCAGCGTCTCCAGTTTCAAAAAGATCAGGTCGTAGGCAACGTTCCCTCTAAGCGGTGGAGTCTCGTGAGCAAAAATTCTACTTTGTGAGCTACGGGCATTAAAGTTGTGAGCGAGCAATTTGGCTCCTGCATCAATTAGTTTGCTCTGAAGCCATCCTTCCTGAGCTAAGACAAAAATGTGTGAGCTGGAGGCTAAAGAACTGGGAGCTAGCTCACACTAACTCAGCTTAGAGGGAACACTGGTCGTAGGTGATGTGAAAGACCCCAACCTGGGACCTAGAGAGAGTCACGGCCAGTCTGAGCAGAAAACACTGCCCTTGACGGACCAAGGGTCTTATTCAACATAAATCAGCTTTGTGTGTTCATGATCAGGTCTGAGCCATATAGGCTTGGATCCGGCTGACCTGTAGGTAGAAGGCTGGGGTTATGGGTCCTCTGTCCCCCCAGGAGCAGAATGTGGGGGGCATTTTTGGCTGCAGCAAGAAGGGAGAGGCTAGAGTCCTTCTCCATGGGTGGAAATAGTTCTTTCCACTCTGCTGGATCCAAGCCACAGCCCAGTTCAGTAATTCCAAAGGAACTGCTTTTGGGACTCAGTCCATCCCCATCTTTCCTCCGTCCTCCTACATGAAGTCATTCTTTCTGTACAAATGGACAGCACTGATCGTCTGGTGCAATGCTACGTGCTGGAGAGGAAGGAGGACTCACCAGTTCCATTGCTATTTTTTAAAAAAAATGTAAAGTAGCCTTGGGGATCCCTCAGGATCAAAGGGATCGGTAAAAAACACCCCAATCAATTAAAAAAATGAATATTCTCTGCAGCTGACCCCCCCAAAGCCCATATTTACACGCACTTGGCTGCGTTCAGTCCCAGAGCCAGGTATCAATGAGAAGGCGAGGCTCACCGCAACTCACTTTATAACGTTCCAGCACAATGCCCCTTCTGTGTCGAAGGGTGCCACCGGCACGTATCAGAAGCTCACCTGTGAATCACTCATTTTGATGGAAGAAGCCCTCCTTTGTCTGTTCTCCAGGTCTTGCTGAAGCTGGAAATACAAGCGTGGTCTTTAGAGCTTAGCTAGGATACGGATTTGCAAATCTCTCTGAGGCAGCTGTCGGACTCTGAATTTTTGGGGGGAGGGTGGTGATGGTGGATGACAGCGCATTTTACCACAGGTATGCTGAAACGACTGGGCGGCTAACGTTCCCACCCCTTCTCCTCAGGACTTGGGGAGAGGCCCCCCTCCCGGCCAACAAAGGTGCCAGTACTCAGTACCACACACACAAAAGCCCTAGGCCTAATAAGCATTATTTGTCCTTGGGACGTCACTGGGTCAGGTGGAGGTGTGTGTTGTGAAGTTCCACACTTCCCGGACACGCATGGACCCCATTCAGATCAGGACAACAACATGCAAAAAAAGGGGGACTTAAGATTTCTCCCCGGAGCCATTTTCCAGACTGGAAACATCTCCTGAGGAACACTATGTGTACAGCTGTGAAAACACAGCATGTTGCTCACAGGTACATACACGGATCCAAACACTGCAAATACCCCCCCCCAGGCCATCTTGGGTTGGGAAAACAGTGCAGGGGTGGAGTTCTAAGCAGTGTTCCCTCTAAGCTGAGTTAGTGTGAGCTGGCTCACAGTCTTTTAGCCTCCAGCTCACAGATTTTTGTCTGTGCTCAGGAAGGATGGCTCCAGAGCAAACTACTTAATGCAGAAGCCAAATTGCTTGCTCACAACTTTGAGGTCAAGGGCTCACAAACTGGAATTTTTGCTCACAAGACTCCACAGCTTAGAGGGAACATTGGTTCTAAGCCCACTGCACTCTGCATACCACGCACCCAATCCAAATAGGCACATTAATATCTTTTAATGTTTTGTTTTTATTCTTTTAATTTTATAAACCACCTCAGACATGTTCCTGGAGGGACGGCATAAACATTTTCTAAATAAATAAAATAATACATTCGAGGGATCCGGAAAATTGAGGACTTGCCATTACCGAAACCACATTAATACAAATATCCCATTGTATTATGGCTTGCCTTTTTATTAAAATACTCGTCTTCTATGCAGTACTCGTATACCGGAGAGGATCCTTGTGGTCTCGGTCGTACGTTTTCTGTTGTCACTTCATCGACCTGAAGGAATGGGAACGGAAAAGAACAAAACACATAATTCTCACTAGCCAATGAGTAGACGCCTTATTTTTATGGACCAGGAAGGGGAGGAGGGAAGAGGGCATTGCTATCTTAGGAGAAAAGCAGAAAAACTAAAGCACAATACTGAAAGGTGTCCAACATAGTTCCATGGCGGGAAAACCAAGTTCAGCGATCATAGTTCTCTGCATATGGGATACTGGAGGGATCGCCATTAGTGGAAGACAGTTTCACATCCTGTTTGTGGGCTTCTGAGAGGCAGCTGGGTTGTCACTGATGCGAAGTCTGGATTCGGTCTAGATTCGGGGTCCCCAACGTGGTGCCCACCAACTGTTTTTAGAAAGTGGGAGGGGCCAGGTGGAGCTTTTGCCCAGCAAGGTTTTTGACTGGCCACTGGAGATATGACTGGCTGTACAGATTTTCCAAAAAAATATTGCTTTGGCAGCAGCTGCCACCAAAGCACACAGATCTTCACTGTGTGACTGAAGGTAAGCTGCGGCGGCCATTTTGTGGCTGGCTCTGCATCCAGCGGCAGCCATTTTGTGGCAGCCATTTTGTGACTGCGCCCATCACACAGTGTCAGAATTCCAAAGGTGCCTGCAGGCTCAAAAAGGTTGGGGATCCCTGGTCTAGATGGACTCTTTGGTCTGATCCAGTAGGGCTCTTCTTAAATTCTTAGTTTTTGTTGTTTGGAATGAGAGGCACAGTCACTGGTTTAAATTAGCCAAGTCGTACAGGGCACACTAGAAATTTGCCTTTGCCTTTTTCTACACAGACTGGCCTGAGTCTAGAGTTCAGTGTGTGCGGCAATGGGCATACACAAACCCTCTGTGCCCGGGGTTTGGTCACTCACATTGAACACTAGGGTAGTCTTAGGTGCACTTCCCGCTGCACATATCCCTTCTCCTGAAGAATATGAAGAAACTCTGGTGGCTGAAGGAGCTGTCAGATGGATACCAGAGCTCCCACACTGATAAAGAACCAATGGATTGCACGCCTATGCATATGTATACATAGCTGCTGACGGAGACATTCACATTCTCTCTCAGGTAGCCTGCTTCTCATATTTCTATCCAAAGAGGGCATTCCT